ACTGTTAAGGAAATAAAAAGATGAGTTACAGACTGGGAGAAAATATTTGCAAACTATATATTGGACAAGGAACTTATATCTAGCATATATAAAGATCTCTCAAAATCGAATCTTTTTTTTTTTTTAATTAGAAAATGGGCAAAAAACATGAACAGACCTTTCACTGAAGTGGATATAGGGATAGCAAATAAACGTGAAAGTAACATGAAAATAACATGATTAGCCACTAGGGAAATGCAGATTAAAACCACAGTGAGCTGTTACAGCATAGGTATCAGAATGGCTAAAATGACAAATAGTGATAACAAAAATGCTGATAAGAATATGGAAAAACTGATTCACACATACATTGGTGGGAATGTATTAATAAAATGGTACAGTTATTCTGGAAAAGTTTGGCAGTTTCTTACCACACTAAGCATGTGCTTACTGTATGACCCAGTAGTTGCACTCTTGGTCATTTACCCCGGAAAAGTGAGACTTAGGTTCATGCACAAGTCTGTACACAAGTGTTCATAGCCGCTTTATTTGTAATAGCAAGATACCCAAAACAACCCTAATGTCGGTCAAGGAGTGAATGTTTAAAGTGCTGTATACCATGGAATACTACTGAGCAATAAAATGGAACGATCTATGGATACATACTACTTCAGCGGATCCCAAGGGAATTATGTTCGGTGAAAAAAGCCAACCCCAAAAGGCCACGTACTGTATGAGTCCATTTATAGGACGTTCTGTAAAGGCAGCACCGTAGCCAGGACTGCACAGGTCAGTGGTTGCCGGAGTTCTGGGTGGGGAGGGTGAGACCACAGAGGGGCAGAGGGAAGGACTGTTTCGTGCGGTGGAACAGTTCTTTGTCCTGTGTTGGCGTATGTGAGTTAACATTCACAGAACTGAATGCCAAAAAGTGTGTGTGGCTGTACGTGAATTAAAAATAAAATATATAAAATAAACTGCTCGGATACACATTCTAAAACATCAGTCCACACACGGCGACCTAAATGACATCCTCACAAGCTCTGCTCTCCGGGAAACTGGGGTGGGAAGCGGCTTCCTCGCCCTTGTCCCGTCTTCTGTAGTGGCCGCATCTGTCGGGGCCGCTCCTGCTGTGGCTTCCGCGCCACCCTCACCCCAGCCGCCTCCCGGCTGCCTCCGCTCCGGCAGGGGCAGTGTCCGAGCCGTGTTCAGCCGTCGGCACTGCGGGGCGCCTTCCCTGGGCCTCCCCGTTTCGGGGCGTCTCTCCGCCTGTGTTCTCCCTCCTCGTCTCCGGATCTTCCCTGCTCCAGGCCTTTCTCCTTTTCTCATGTCTCTTCCTTTCCTCCTCTGACTGTCTTTCCTCTTTGTCTCCGCTGTCGGATCTCTGGTTGGCAGGGGCGGGTCTTTTTACCCGCTCGTTGTCCGTGTTGCCATGGCATCGATGGTGACGCAGGCGCTGGGGTGGGTGGGACCCGCGAGGCCGAGCCTACCTGTGATTGGCTGTGCGCTCTGTCATAGCGGCCTCGCCCCGCCCTCCCAGGTGTGGCATCTTGGGAGTTGTAGTCCGCGGCGGTGCACAGCGCGCACGCGCAGTTTGGCTAGCCGCCATCACGCCACCGGGGCTCGGGGCTGCTGGGACCCGCCTGGGTACTGCGCAGCAGGTGGGTCGGGCCGGGCGCCCAATTCGGGGGGCGGGGAGGACGGGCGGGGAGCGACCTCGGCCTGGAGAGGTGATGAGGGCGCTCCGGGTGGGAGAGAGGGCCGGGGCGTCCCCGGAG